AAGGAATGAAACCCCGTGTTACCAATCTCATCTTTAACAATCCCTTTACAGAATTGAAACATTTGATCATAAAAGCTAGCCCCCCCCTCCCCCCCTTTTCAATAAATGCAAGTTACAAATATGTTCAAAATGACATGAAAATGTACACCCAACTCAAAATACAGTCAAATTCGGTGCACAGACACTAAAGACTAAAATCAATTTTACATTGTACCCACCAGAGTACAGATAAAACAACACACACTCATCCAAACATTTATCACTCCTCTAAAGTCAACACTTCCCTGTGGAAAATCTGGCGTAAATATTTAGTTTGCCAATCACAACTAATGCACTCATAGGTGGAATCATTTGTAAGTGCTCTACAAGTTAACTTATGCGTACTGGACAATGTGGCATATGGATTCTCTTCACAAATAATTTTAAAACATTTGCAGAAATACATACCAAGCCTGGTTTTTTTCTTCTAACCTCCATTCACAAAACAAACATAAGGAAATCAATCCAATTCAATGCTTTGCTGAGAAAAAAAAAATGGTCACGTTTCACCAGCATCCTTGAAGAAGGAGCTTCAGGTTATATTTGTGATTAGGTTATGTGCACCATATAAAATGTCTATTAGCATTGCACTCCACCAGGTAAAGTAAATAAAGGTCCCTTTTCCCCGACTTTAGACGTACTGGGAATGTAGGGCTAGACCTACATTTTTATAGACCGATTGGCACATGGTGGGTGATGTGGTCAGTGCCTTTACTTCCCAGGACTGCATCTGGTACCCACTCAAGGCTGGGTCAACTTGGGAGCTCAAGGTCATTTCTGAAGAAAAGTCAGACTCCGCCAGGACGCGAACCTACGACCTTTCCATCTGCAGGCGGGCGTCTAGTTGCCAACGCCACGGTGACTCCCCACCAAGGGCCCTGAAATGGACTCGTGCGGTGCTGATGCAATCAAAGGAGACCCAAATACTGTCTCGACTGGTGACAAAGATTACCAGATAAACACATGCTGCGTTTATCAGTACTGCATGAGTCAAACTAATAATTCAGACAGTGGGTAGATGTATAATTGTGTCTGTGACACATAACAGTAAGAGCACTATATTATCTCTGCAATGACTAAGAAACGTATGGTGAGCTGTTTGTCCTGAAAGAGTTAAAGGATCCTTTTCCATGCTTGAGGCCAGGGCTATTCAACTGGTGGCCAGGGGGATACATCTGGCCTACGGAGGCCTGGCAAGTGGCCCGCTGGTCATTGGCAATTGTATTGTTTTAATGATCTTTCTATGCTAGGGCTTGTAATTCTGGTCCGCGACGATCCCTATTTAGAAAGTTTTGGTACCTGAGTAATAGTTGAATAGCCCTCCTTTCGACATACTGGGCATATAAGGCTAAACCTATATTTTATAGACCGATCAGCACTCAGTGGGTGATGAGTTTAACATCATGTCAGCTAGCCTCTACTTCCCTGGACCCATGTCAGACTGGGAGTCATGGTTATTTTGAAAAGAAAAAAAAAACACAAAGAAGGGGGGAAAAAAGCCAGGCTAAAAGAGTTTAGCCATTCTATTCCATTCTGAGGTCTGTTACTTTTTGTTGTTGTTATAGTCTGGCTACAAATACTTTTACAGTCTAGCTACACATACTTTTACAGTCTAGCTACACATACTTTTACACTCTGGCTACACATACTTTTACACTCTGGCTACACATACTTTTACGTTCTGGCTTCACATACTTTTACGCTCTGGCTACACATACGTTTGCGCTCTGGCCACCCATACTTTTTTTGCTCTGGCCACACATACTTTTGCGCTCTTAGCGACAGAAACGTTTACGCTCTGGCTACACACACTTTTACACTCTGGCTACACACACTTTTACACTCTGGCTACACACACTTTTACACTCTGGCTACACACACTTTTACACTCCGGCTACACATACTTTTAAACTCTGGCTACAGATACTTGTACAGTCTGGCTATACACACTTTTACATTGTGGCTACACACTCAAACTGCAGTCTGTAAAAGCAACTAAATGTAATATACCCCACTGGACACAGACACACATACATGGTGAAAATAAATTATTTATTCTGGTTAAAAATTTCAGTAAATACTCAATTAACATAGTATGTTATGTTTAAAACAACACTACTCGTGAATAAGTTCAAACAATGGTTACAGGCCTTTAAGAACAACTACAATCAAACATTGCATATTTCAAACGACACATATAAATGTCTCAAAAATATGTTTTAAAAAAAAAAAGGTTAGTTGCGTATCCGTTACAGAATGCTGCAGAACCAACACTAGAATTTTTGGGGCTGTGGTTTTTCTACGTCAATTTTACATTCAGTAGTTTGCCACTGCTTCTGAATGGTCAGCCCTCGGTACCATTGTTGAAACCAAAGCAAGACAAACTATCCGCAGCTGCAATCAAAGCCAGCACTACAAAGCTCATTTGCAACGCCTAAGCCACAGGCGGCTTCTAAAAATATGATGCTTGTAAAATTCTCACCAATTTCTTCAGCACCGATAACAATGATTTATTCTTCATGACAAAACCTGTGGCTTGAGGGTTACAAACACGGTTCATAATTAAGAAATACCCAGTGGCAACATGCTGATCAAGCATAAGCAGTCGTGGTTTGCCATCTTTTTTGATCACCAGAATCACAGATAAGGTCTGTGTTATTGTCTCGCCCAAGCCATCAGAGTATTTATCTCTGCCTCCCCTGGCTCTTTTTCCATAGGTCTGCCACTAGCCACTAAGCTTTCAACTTTACATTTTCTTTTCTTCCGTTTTTTTTTTTTCCAGGTTCACCGGCTGTAAAATCTGGCAGAAAGCTTTGGACTTTAGTCTTGTTCCAATCCGTACTACAGACCTGGCATATTTGTATGCAGACTGCTGGTTTCCCACCTCTCAGGCAAATATACCTCGATTTCAAAGGAAACACCCCTTAAATAGTCATCGTTTACGAAATGCTTGTTAAGGAGACCAGTGGGTCTGTTATTTTCTCCCCCCCCCCCCAGAAATGATGTCCTGGAACCCATAGGGGGATACTCCTATTTTAATTCTCGGTTCAATGTGCACCACATGACGTGGCACAATGGTGCTACCAGGGATGTTAAGGGAAGCAAAGAAAGCAACAGTGTACCACGGCCAGCTCCAGATATAAGGCCGTACAGCTCAAACGGGAATTCCCGTTTTTGTGAGGCTGGTGTGGCCGTAAGGTGATAACAATTGTTATTGAATGAATTATTATTCTGAAGATACATATTTTCTTATAGCTAATTTTTTTTTTATCTTTAAAATAATAATTCATCCAATAACACACGTTGATAATTAAACTGTAGTTCAATTTGTGTATATATATACTTGATAACAACTGTTACCACCAACTGGCCACGCCAGCCTCACAAAAACGGGAATTCCCGTTTGAGCTGTAGGGCCTTATATCTGTAGCTGGTCGTGTAGTGTACATGCAAAGCTTGCTTCAAGACAGACAGTTACATTTATAGTTACAAATTAATAATTTTAAATTAAAAATTTTAATTATTTATACAGTAAAACCTTGTTAACAGGAACTTGCTAAAGACAAACACTGTTAACATGAAACACAATTTTTGTTCTGACATGTATTATTATACTTTTTAGCCCCCAGTCAGCAATTTTTGTTTTTTTAATGCAAACTTTTCTTTGTTTGTTAGAATTTTCGTTATCGAGGTTTTACCATTGAAAAAAAAAATAATTAATAATATCAAAAATAGATTAATTATAGTTAAAGATTAATTCAGTATGGTTTCAATTTTCTCAATGCAAGTTAAAAATTGAGTTATGGTTAAAAATCAATTTCATTAGCTGCTCATTGTAGTTTAAAAATTAATTATTTTTGGGGTTAAAATTCCAGTAAATATTTTAGTAAAAGACAGTACTTTCTGTTTTAAAATAACACTCCTAATGGCAAAATCTAAACAATGTCATAAACAACATGGAATTTACCAGCATGTGGCGCTATCAATTAAGGTCAGGAAATCTAAATAAACAATACAGTGGGCAATATACTGCCTGCTAAACTTCGCTGAAGCTTGTCAGGTGCATTACTACAGAGTTAAGTCAAAATACAGTATAATGAAGAATAAAAATAAACCCTTTTTGCTGAAGTGCATAAACCACACTCAATTTACTGTATATCTCTCGCCCGGAAATTCAAGATAAGCCACGTAATTACCACAGTAATTTTAAATGTATCAGGTGATTTTAGCAGTGTGTAGTAATGAAACTGACAAAATACAGTGAAAAATGCCAGGCAATAAATTGTGTAATGTATTATTTAAACAAAGACACACACAATAGACTGCACAATTTACTGCCTGACATACTTCGCTACATAAAATAAGGGGAGCTGCGTGGTCTTGAGGAATGGTGTCCGCCTTGAGTGCTAGAGGTCCCCGTTTCAAGCTGGGTTGTTTTCACGTTTTCATTTCTAGCATTTTCCCTCTGGTCTCTGGGCAGTAAGACCAGAAGCCTATGTGTATTGTTGCACACATTAAAAAAATCCCATGGCAGTTGAAAATAGAAAAAAAGAGTAGCCTTACGGTACTGCCTGGGAAAAATGTAAAGTTAAAAAATTTATTCAAAGCATTTCAGGATCCTCGCCGGTGCAACAGAGTTTCTGCACTGCGCTGAGATTCTTCGGACTCAGGCTTGAGTTAGAAGAAGAATGGAGCACTTATGGGTTACGGCTGTGTGCCATGATGCTGATCCATTGAACAAACAATAAACAATTGCTAGATAAATAGCAAACAGCACAAAACAGGCAGTTACTTCTGAGTGTTAGTTGATTTTTTCAACTACAGTTTTAAAGGAGAAATGTATCTGCTGCAGTATATTCAACTATGGTATGCATCTGAAGACAAACAATGAAAAACACCAGGCAACAAACTGTGCAATCTACTGTTTGTGTCTTTGTTTGTTCAAATGTACAGGTGTTCATTCATTGTTGGGGCAGAGTCCAAGGACGCTCCATCTCCCTCTGTTTCTGCAGAGATTCAAAAGCCTTTCTAGGAGGCACCAGATGCTCCGCAACACCAAACCGTTTCTTCTTGTTCCTACCAGCCATATAGTTGTCTTCATCTACAGGTTCTGGTTCCAGCGGTCGCCGCCGAGCATCAAAATATGCAGACGGGTGATAAACTTGATGGGAAGTCTGCACCGATGCCGATTTTTCAGTCTGGACATTTTCTTCCACAGTTCTATTTTCTGGGTCATGGAAAAAGCGACAGTTTTTGCCCATGTGGCATTTCCCTTTTCTAAACTTCCAACAGACAGGCTGATGGGCAGGTTTTTTGGGGGCTGCCTGTGTCAGTTTCACATGTTTTTCTAAAATCTGATTTTTGGCTTGCTCTGCTTCTTCAAAGGGATTCACAAACACTGAAGTGCCAATCCTTGATTTGGCTACCTCAAAAATACTTGGAAGTTTTTCGTGTCCACTGGAAAGTGGGTTTGGAAGTTTCTCTTCAGGCTCTGATTTCACTGGGGTTTCACATGTAGTAGATTCACTGAACTTCTTCTCATCTTCTTCATCGTCATCTGTTTGATCAGATGTCCCAAAAAAATTAGAGACTGAATCAGAAGGTTCTTGCTTGATTCTGAAATGCAACAACAACAAAATCTTAAAACCACGGGAAATGTTATAATAAAATTAGTGGCATATCTTTTACAAAACATTGCAGAATCAACTCTAACATTTGTTTTGACAGTTTGTGTCTTTACTAGGCAATTTTATGTTCAGCAGTTTGCCACTGCTTTCTAAACAGTCGGCTCAGCTCTCCATACCAACAGTGAAATCAAAGCATTGCAGTCTGCTGCCAACTCACCCACAGCTGGAATACAACTGGGAAATTCAGAGTTATGAATGGTGTTTACAATGATATAAAGGAGTGGTTCTCAACCTGTGGGTCGCGATCCTACTTTGGGTCGAACAACCCTTTCCCAGGGATTGCCAAAGAGACCATCGGAAAACACATATTCACTGAAGTTATAAAGTAGCAATGAAAAACACTGTATGGTTGGGGGTTGTCAAAACACGAGCAACTGTATTTGAGAGTCGCAGCATTAGGAAAGTTGAGAGCCGCTGTTATAAAGCTTAAAAAAAAATTACTTATACTGGACTTATCAATGGAGGTTAGAAAATGAACAAGTGCATGTTACTAGAAGAGTGGGACAAGAATGATACATGTAGTGAAGTGGATTCTTTAGGAATAGGATGCCATGGACTGTGTTGCATGGAGGGCAGGAAATCCAGAAGGAATAGAGATAAAGGACAACATGACAGCATATAGCTTAAAAGGAGTTGAGCATCTCAGAAAAAGCACATTAAAAACAATGGTCCTGAAATTCCATGCTCTAACTGCGGAGGACATTTCTCTGTGCTTTATTAATATCCTACCCCAAACAGGGGAAATCCACATGTCACAGGATAGTCTAATATTTCAGGGGGTGATAGATAGGCTGCAAGCAGTCGTAAGACCTTGGCTGCACTCTCTCATGGGAGGTAGGTGGGTTGGGACTAGGGCCAGTTCTAGATGTTTTGGGTTGTTAAAAGCATGAGAAAGCTGGGAAACTCAGTCTTACCACCCTCTAAAATGTCTGACGTCATCTGGGGTAGTATAGTAATAAAGAACACATTTCTCAAACTGAGTGGCCCTTGCTCTCAGCACAGCCTTGTGTTGTGGTGCCCATGCATCCCTACAAAACAATATAGCATCCTGAAAGAAGGAAAGATGCCAACTATACCTATGTTATTAGAACCGGTATAAGCTCTTTCAGCCCCAATTAGTTGCTACTTCTATTCATTCAAATTTAAAACCATTATTTTAAACTAATAGATGTTGGACCTAAAAGTTGGATCTTATAGCAACACTAAAAGAAAGTAGATGTCACAGTAGCTTCTTCTTCTTCTTGTTCACCGGCTGTAAACTCCGGCGCAAAGTTCTGGTTGTTCGTCCACTTCTGGACTGCAGTCCTGTTCCAGAACCTGAGTGTTACATGTGCATCCGTTTGACAGATCTGTATGCAGACTGTTGGTTCCTTGCCTTTCAGGCAGATGCACTCCAACTTCGAAGGATGCTCCCAATTAGTCGACTCTTATGACACGCTTTTGGTAAGCAGTGGGTCTATTCTTGTTTTTTCCATAGTAGGGCCCCAGAACCCACACGGGGAGTCACAGAAGCAAATGGGATACAACAAACATGATGGGGCATCAACCAGAACAGAATAGGAGTTGTTAACCTAAGAACACTTGGAGACATACTCAGGAGGAGATCGGAACACATATGTATATATGTCCGATAAAGATGATCTGTAAAACTAACAATCAACAATGAGTTAAATAAAACAACTAATGTTTCTTCTTTCTGTCAACTACTGAATACTTGACCGCTGCAGTATTATAGATGATAGCTAGCCGAGCCTTGGCATGCTCAGTTGCTTGGTATGTTGGGAAGTAGTAAAGTCTTAGGCTGCCAGTGACCCCATTTATCCATCTTCTTCTCTGTCTCCCTCTGTATCTCGAGGTTCACATTCTCACACTGTAAGCTTATACTGCCAGCACTGTTGGATTCATTCTCACTAGGTTGACAAAGCATCTGTCTTTGTTTCTCACAGAATCTATTGTTGGGTACTGTTCCATATCTGAGAAAGCTGGTCGAAGTGACAAGAAGGGACAGTTCGCAATCAGACAATATATTAAAATCTTAAAACCCAGGCCTTACAAACCCAAGTGGATCAGGCACAGTTAAAATGGTTTGGACATGTATGCAGAATGACAGAAAAATCGGCCACCATGGCAGGCATGGGAGGCTAAAAACCAGGGAACCAGACCTCCAGGGCGACGCAGCATGTGCTGGGAAGAGAACATCTGCCAGTCCCTGATCAAGGACTCGAATGGAACAAAGCCAGAAAGAAAACTGCTGATAGAGACATCTGGCGATCTTTCTGGCAAACCGGTACATCACAAAGTAGAAGAGGAATGACTAAGTAAGTAAGTAAGTAAGGGTATTGTTTCATCAGTTATTGTTTTGTGTGTGTGTGTGGTAATCTCATTTTTTGCAGTCTCTTCTGGTCTTGTTTGCAGCATATAATATTTGAAGTTACCAATAAATGCATGGTGAGCTGCTTGCTACTTAATGAGATAACATCCTTGTGAGGGCTCCAGGACTCTTCTGGAAAAAGGAAAAGAGATTAGGCTAACTGAGCCTTAACGGGTATGTCCCAAAAGACAACCAATGAAGGACTGGCCCAAATCAGAAGTGCTAGGTCTCCAGGCAGGTACATCCCAGCCTAGCTGTAAACCAGTAACAAAATGAGCACACTGCCCATGTAAGGGCAGTCTCACCAAGGTCCCTGATCTATAGTTATTGCACAGCCCTGCATTTTTGACAGCTTTCAGTACATTAGTGTGGTCCATTGGTCACCCACTTTCAGATGGTTACACACTAACCTGTAATCAAATTGGTGTGGGTTAGAATTCCAGCAGTGTGGTCAAGGCTGATGATCTATGGTAATCATATTATCACTCTGCCTTTCTGAAAAAAATTTAGAATTTTAGCCTGCTCTATTAGCCACCCATTTTTAACAGGAGCTGGAGCAGAGGAAAGCTGTTGCTGCTAACATTAACTACTGGGGCAGAGGAAAGCTGTTGCTGTTAACAGTAACTACTGGGGCAGAGGAAAGCTGTTGCTGCTAACAGTAACTACTGGAGCAGAGGAAAGCTGTTGCTGCTAACAGTAACTACTGGAGCAGAGGAAAGCTGTTGCTGCTAACAGTAACTACTGGAGCAGAGGAAAGCTGTTGCTGCTAATAGTAACTACTGGAGCAGAGGAAAGCTGTTGCTGTTAACAGTAACTACTGGAGCAGAGGAAAGCTGTTGCTGCTAACATTAACTACTGGGGCAGAGGAAAGCTGTTGCTGCTAACAGTAACTACTGGAGCAGAGGAAAGCTGTTGCTGCTAACATTAACTACTGGGGCAGAGGAAAGCTGTTGCTGCTAACAGTAACTACTGGAGCAGAGAAAAGCTGTTGCTGCTAACAGTAACTGGGGAAGAGAAAACATGTTGCTGTTAACAGTAACTGAAGAAGAGGAGAGGTGTTGCTGCTAATAGTTACTGGGGCTATCCTCCGACTAACGGTCGACAAAGATGGCGGCCGCAAAATATCCAGCCAAGCCGCAGTCATGTGTTAATTGCGCGCTTCCGGCTACTTAATCTGCAGTCTTCCAGTGGTTTTCCGCCAACCGCTACTGCCAGGTGGCCCCCACGCCGCTCAAGCGCTTTTCCGGCAACTGTGGCTACCGCCACGTGGCCCCCGCGCTGCTCATGCGGCGTGGATTGGCGCTAAACTAGACGGCTAGGACTCACGAGCAGTAGCTTCCGCATCTCCTGCAGCCTTGCTCGTGAGTCCTAGCCATCTAAGTTTAGCCCCAATCCACGCCGCATGAGCAGCGTGGGGGCCACGTGGCAGGGGCCACGTGGCGGTGGCCACGTGGCGGTGGCCACAGTTGCCGGAAAAGTGCATATTAAGTAGCCGGAAGCGCACAATTGACACGTGACTGCGACTCGGCTGGATATAATGCGGCCGCCATCTTTGCCGACCGTTAGTCAGAGGATAGCCGTTTCTGGGGAAGAGAGACATCTAGGCAACCACTAGTATTATTATTATTAGTATCAACAGTTATAATACAGAAAAGATGAAACCAGCAGAGAATCACCAACAGGCACTGAAACTGACAAGGAAACAATGACCGAGAAAGTGAGGGAGTTCAAAGGTGGAAGCAACCCTTAAGTACTAAACACACTGAGCACTGACTAACAGAGGTCAACGCTGCTGGACTAGATTCCATCCATGATTGACTCTGAACTGACCGCACAGGATAGAAGGGAACTGATGAACAGACTGCGAGCCCTTTGTGATATGTAATGGCACAACAAGACAGTGAATGAATTCATTCAGTCAGTGTATGAGTACTATCAGTGTATATGCATGTAATCATGTATTTTGTATTGTCGTACTGGACAGTACAGTACAAGACTATCGAGAATAGGTTAGCGTATACTACCACACAAATATCGCTAAAGTTACACAAATTATGCAGTACTAGATGAGCCCATAATTATGCATTATTACAATAAATGTATGTGAATGTATATCAAAGCAATATTTACCTAACTTCTTGCGTCTTGTCACTGCTGCTGTCATTTGACTCTTCATCATATTCACCACCATCACTTAAATCACTATCTGAATAATCCGCAACCAGGGACGCCAATGCCATATTATTTTTCTTTAAAATATGAATTCAACAGGCCGAATTAATCCGCACCATAATTTTTCATTTCATAAAAATAACAGTTTATTAAAACTAAACTGGGAGAAGCTAAAACCAATTCTAAAAAACAATAAAAGTATCAACACCCGCCGCCATTAAAACCGTTTGTCAACAAACGGTGAAGATCTGTTCCGCAGAATCGACATTTCAAACCAGGGCTGCCGAAATTATATTTGGGTTAAAAATTGCCAAAACGGTAAAAGCTTCTAAAAAAATTATTTTTATTTAAAAAGAAGAGTTTCAACATTATGTATAAAACTAACTAACCTTATATTTGGTCAGAATTTAAATTCTTCTGTATTATATTATTGCCGTAGAAAATTTTGCCCGTACAGTATTTTGTTGCGGCTTCCAGGTGGTTGTCTTGGAACAATAAGTTTGATCTGATCAGTGCACTTATTGCCGAAGTCTTAAAAAAAAGAGCAATAAAAAATTATAATATTGGTAAACAGAGAGAAAACTCTTTCTGCAGCTGCAGCGGATGAGGTAGTACCAAAAGACTAATCATACATTTTATATAAATGGAAAGCGATTTTCATGCTCGACATTTCTTGTCTGAAATCTTAAACTTGACGCTTTTTAGTGTTTTTCCCCTTCATTACGTGTTTGATCTTGTACTATTAGTATTAGTTCTCTCCATTCTTTATTAATTTGTTCATTATATTTTTCCTTAACAAGGCTGTGAAATATCACGTTCTTTCAGTACAATTTCGATGTAAAATGATCAACACGAAGCCAAAATTAAAAATACAGTTCCTAAAACGTAGCAAAACATCGGGTGTCATACCAAAAGTCTGGGTGTAACCAGATCGTCTGGCAGGCTGAATACACTCAGAGAAAAAGGCAAGAGCGACATATAACTCGATTATGACCGGTAAGAGCAAGAGGACCGCCGCGAAATATATGGATCGACAACATTAAAGACACTCTACGCCTTCACGGCATGACAATAGCCAGTGGCAGCCAACGTGCACTGGATCGCAAATTATTCCTCCCCACGGCGCTTAACGGCAGAAGTGGTTCATGATGATGATGAACATCATTATTGAAACCCTGCGCTGGCTGCTGAAGGTGAGGACGGAGCATGCATGGGTACGCCCGAGTGCTGTGATGTCAATTCTTGACTCAACCAAAAGTACAGTTTTGCTTGGCAGGGTCAAATAATTCCGTTTACGAAAAGTACCAACTTCGGCAGCTCTGTCCTCAACGTTTGATTGGTAGAAAAGGTTAGAGAGTTATATTTAGTGCTACACATGATTCCGGTCCAGTGAACGTTCCACGCAGACGGACAACACGTTGAACAGGCTCCCGTCTTCACATCCAGTCTGTGCTTTAAATTTAAAGTTTACAATCTCATTTAATTTGGTAGGTGAGAAGGAGGATTGATTTCTTTGCTTAGTTTGAACAAAGATTAAAGAAGACACAGTCAGTTACGACAGATTGCACTATTTATTGTAGTCATATTTCGCCGTGTCTTAGTAACTCAGATTACTTACTACTACTTCAACACTTGTACTTAATAGAGTAGTACAGTAAGTACTCACGGTACGGCCACTAACTAGAATAAAATGGAGCAGATAAATGAATCATTTACAACATATAAAATCAACAGCTACCAGGCATCTGTTTTAGTTTAACGGGGCAAGTGCTAGTTCACAACCACTTTCTTAGTTTTCCATGACTATACTATACTAGTTAACTTATCAACACTGAAAACGGCGACCCTAGGGGACACAATCCGTAATCTGTTGTTTTTACAGCGACCATAAGGGACACAATCTATTGTTGGTTTACATTCACATTATATTTTTCTCTATTATTTAATATTGCTTCAGATTAGAGTTAGGGCTAACTTTACCCCAAACCCTAATCTCAGAATATATTGAATATTATTATGTAAACTTATACAAGCAATGGCTTATGTCCCCTTACTTTCATGTCTAAAATATTAACTCTTTGGGCTATCCGCTGAATAACGGGCACAAAAGATGGCGGCCAAAAACAATGCCTCAGTCACGTGTAAATTACACACTTCCGGTGACTTAATTTGCGGTTTTCCGGCGACTACCACCACCGCCGAGAGTATCCCCCTCGCCGCTCACGTGGCGTGGATTGGGGCTTAACTAGATGGCTAGGACTCACGAGCAAAGCTACAGGAGATGCGAAAGCTGCTGCTCTTGAGTCGTCTCCTTGTGAGAAAATTTTTGTTAATTTGAAGCCCCACCCTGGCTCTTGCCGGGAGCCGCAATATAGCCCGGTCATAAATATGGCCTAAGGGCTGAACACGGTTTCTTGGACCTCTCCACGGTAATCCTTATCTGCATGGTGGCACATTGTGTCATCGGATGTTTATCGCTTATGTGATGTCCTAGTGGGGTAAAAAGTCAGTCAGTTTATTTTCAAATAACACATTCAATAAAACAGACCATACTAATTCAATGCGTTAAATTTTGTTCCAAAGAATCTTTTCAGGCATCATAACAGAGCATCAAAACAATAAGTATCTTCACACAAAACAAAGTTTGTGTAACACTCAGTTTGCCTGTAATTTTGTAGCTATAATCCTAAATAATAATAAGAATAGCACTAGAACTAACTGACACTGAAGACAATCGTCTTTTCACTAATGTTTATTCTGTTTGTGCCAGCTGACTTTGCTATCGTTGTACCTTCACGTGAGGTACACATTAGACATATCCCTCATCAAAGTTTGACTCTATAAATGACATGACTAATTCGCAACTATATCTATATAACTTCAGATAAATCAAAGAGACACATACTTTATTTACATTTGAGGCTTCTTCTTCTTCTTCTTCTTCACTTCCTCTTTTACCGCTGTGGGTGTCGAGGGAGATATAAGGTTCTGTTTCTAGCTCTTCTGGCTGCCTCGACCATAGGCACATCGTGCTGTTGTAGAGTTTCTCTGATGTTATCCTTCCATCTTGTTCTTGGTCTACCCCGTGCTCTATGTCCTTCTTCTCTTTCCATGTATGCTTTGTATGGTATGGTGTCACAAGGCATTCTCTCTAAGTGGGCAAACCATTTCACTTGCTGTCTTTGTATGTAATCCAGAATTGGTTCTGTGCCGACTTGTTCTCTTATGATCTCATTCCTGATCTTATCTCTTATGGTCACTCCTACAGCCCTTCTCAGACATCTCATTTCCGTGGTTACTAATTTTCTTTTATGGTTTGTTGTGAGTGACCATGTCTGGCACTGGTAGCACAGAGTTGGAATAAATATGCTTTGAATAAGATGTCTCTTTGTGCTGATTGGGATTGTCTTATGCTGTAAGAGGGGGGCTAGCTGTCCCAATACTTGGTTTGCTTTACTGCATCTAATGTCAATTTCTTTATCCAATTTCCCATCTTCGGTAAATGTAGTTCCCAGATATATAAACTCAGATGCCTGTTTAATGCCTTTGTATTCTATTGCTATGTTTAGATATGTCTTCTTTTTTCCTATTGACATTACTTCTGTCTTTTCGGTGTTGATTCTCATATTATTTGTTTTACATTCTTCATTCATGGATGTTAGATGTTGTTGAAATTTCATGGCTGTATCTGCTATCAAGGCCTGGTCATCTGCAAAGAGTAATTCGTTGATCTTACTAAGATCTTCATTCATGGGCTTGGCATTCTTGCATATACTGTCGATGTAGGTGATAAACAGCAGTGGTGATAAGACACACCCCTGTCTTACTCCAGATGTCACTGTGAAAGGATGAGATGTTCCCTGATTTATTCTAACTACACTTCTACAATCCCTGTATAAACTTTTGCACACTTCGATGAGGTGTTCGCTTACTCCTTATCTTGCCATTATTTTCCATAGTAATTGTCTGTCGACTCTGTCAAATGCCTTCTCCTGGTCTACAAATGCCACAAATAAGTTCTTATTGTATTCAATGTTCTTTTCTATTAACTGTTTAAGTGTGAAGATTGCATCTGTGCAGCTTCTATTTCTCCTAAATCCCATCTGTTCTTCTGCCAGCTGTGGTTCTATCACTGGTCTCAGTCTTGTTTCTATTATCTTGGCATACATTTTGCCAACATGGCTTAAAAGAGAGATGCCTCGATATTGACCGCATTCTCGTTTGCTTCCTTTGTTCTTCCACAATGGTATAACTATTGCATGTTGCCAATCAATAGGGGCCGTTTGTTGTACCCATGCTGCATTGAATATTCTATGAAGCCATCTGATGCTGCTTTCACCTGCTGCTTGAATTATTTCTGTTGGTAATCTATCAGCTCCTGGCTTCTAAAGCCGTAAATTATGTTGGCAAACGTAGAATACTGCTTGGTGGTCATATTCTTTTCAAACAAACGCTTAGTAACTCTGTTAATCTTGCAAATATACTATATTTTCAGCTTTCAGACCATGTTTTTAAATGAGCACGCCTGGTGTCAGACACAAAGAACTCAAAAGGAAGTTGAAATTGAGCGGTCCACATTTTATGATGGGTCATCGGTAAATTAAAAACCAGCACTTTTCACGCGTCGATTGGGCCGGGCGGTTGTAACAAATTAGCACGTGATGCATTCCCTGGGACTCGAAGAGTTAATAACTTGCAATAGATTGCATCCCCTAGGGTCACAGTTTTCAGTTTTACTGTTTACTTAATTGTCGACACACTTTGAGCAGTTTGAGATTATCTTGTACTTGTGCAGTTTGTTCCTTGAAGTAAGATTTATTTATTTGTGGTAGGTGACAAGGATTGACTGCTTTGCTTACAGTTGTCCCCTGTGTTGGTTCCGGGGCACTATTATAGGGAAAACTAGAATAGACCCACTGCCTACCCGAAGTCGGAGTGCATCTGCCTGAGAGGCAAGGTACCAATAGTTTGCACACAAATGTGTCAGATCTGTCAAACTGATGCACACACACCACTCAGGTTCTGGAACAGGACTGCAGTCCAGAAGTGGACAAACAACCAGAACTTTCCGCCAGAGTTTACAGCTGGTGAACGTGAAGAAGAAGAAGCTTACAGTTGTTTATTTTAACATAGAGAAAGCTTATGATTTCAGTACGAAACCCTAGACACTTCTCTTCCCTCTTAACACAAAACCATCTGTATAGATAATCGGATCATCTGGGCGTGTATTGTTGTGAATCAACTGTTGGACTTCCACCTTCAAAGCCCCCACTGGCCACTCTCTGCACCCCTGTCCTAATGTGATGATGACTCTACACAGACCAGACTTTTCTTCTGGTTCTCTGACCCACTCCTCTCCATGCCCAGTGTTTTCCAGCATGCATACTTGTCTTATTATGACTTCTGTTTGAGCCTCCCATGATTTTTCCCTTTTCATCCTCTGACACAGACCTGCAGCCAAAGCTTCATACAGAAAAAAAAGTAAAGCACCCTTTTTCACGCCTTTAGGGTATATAAGGGCTAGACCTATATTTTATAGATCAATCGGCACAAGATGGGTGACGTGGTCAGCATCATACCGGCCGCCTTTACTTCCTGGGACTGCACCCGGTACCCACTCAAGGCTGGAGGTCGACCTAGGAGCCAAGTTTATTTTTGAAAAAAGCCCGGCTCCGCCAAGGAGCAAACCCATGACCTTCCGATCCATGGCGAGCGTCTAGCCGCTCCACCACAGCGACTCCTACTTCATAAAGAGGGTGCTCTTTATTTGCAGCCACTTTGAGGTATGACTTAGCCCGCAGCACCTTAAGCCTATCTGCAATATTTGGCTATGCAAGGATGTCTCACATGCACACAGCTGGGTGTCTCTTGTACATCCCAGGATAACCTGCATAGCTTCATTCTGTATGCGCTCCAGTTATACTAGCTGACTTTTCAAAACATTAGGCAACCTCATTCCATAATTAATCACTGTGATGATAAAGTGTTGATATAGTGTGAACAGCATTCTCTGCTCCTTGTCCATTGCTACCATAATCTTTAGTGCATTGAGACCTTTTTTAACCCTTGTCACAACCCTCTATGTTATCCTTAAAAAACATACTTATGTTAAAGGTGATTCCCAGGTACCGCAGTATGCTGCCTCTTTTGATGTTCCTGTGGTTTATTTTGAGGCTTGGAACATCAGGTCTAACAATCCTGTTGCATTTTCTGGGTTGATTACAGCACTCATCTCTGTACACCAGTCAGTCACCTTATCTACTGTTGCCTGTAACTCTTGAACTATTTGATTCCCATCTGGAAGAAGGAAGAATACCATAAACTGAATAGTCAATAATAGTACTCAAAAGAAACCTGATAAAACATATCCAAAATTAATCACAAATGAAGGTAATCCTTATAATGAGTAAAATAAATATGTACAGTAAATCTTGTTCCGGATCAATTTTTAGAGGATCATCTCACAGCACTGTTATTAGGTGACAAACAACTTTTAAAAACAATATCTTCACACAAAATAAACTTGATTTAACACTCAAACTACCAGTAATCATGTATTTGAAATAGAACTAGAAAAAACTGACTTTGCTATTATTTTTTTGTCCTGCTGTAATTTAACTCTGTTTGTGACCGGTACCATAAGTATTGGAACTCTGCGCTGGTTGCTGAAGATAAGGTTGGAGCATGCATGGGAATGCCACCAGAGCTGTAATGTCAATTCTTGACTCAACTGCACTTGACTCTGTCATCTTTGTATATTAAAGAGTAGTCCCTCATCAAAGTTTGATGGTGTAAATGACGCAGAAAAGTCTAGGATGCTGCTTTTGTCATCCAGCCTCGCCTAAATCTGATCAACATAAGTATTTTATTACAGTTTTGAGTTATAAAGTATGTTCATGTGTGCAAAGAAAACCACTCGACTACCTATGTCTTCCCCCCCCCCCCCCTTTCCCCCAGTGTCTTTATTCACCTTCGCAGAAGTGTTTCCCTGCCTCATTTTCCTGAAGCTATAACCTCCATCGGGTGCCGCCATGGTGTAGTGGCTAAACATTCACCTTGCGGACCAGAAGGTTGTGGGTTCAAATGTGAATGGAGCTGGACTTTTTTCAGAAATTACCCTGGCTCCCATGCTGACCCAACCTTAAATGGGTACCAGGACAAGTTCTGGGAAGTGAAGATCTTGAACCATTTCTCCTACCAAGTGCCGATTTGTCTATAAAATATAGGTCTAGCCCTTTGTGCCCAATAAGACAGGCTGTGGCAAAGTGTCTTTACTTGGTGCCCTCCATCACTGCTCTCTTCTAGCCACCATGACATTTTCACTTGTAAAGGATACATTTAAAGTGAGAAGCAACAACAAAATTCATAATCTGTTTAAATCACCACTTATCACTGGCATCATGAGAGCTAATAGACTGAAATGGTTGGGGCATATTGAAAAAATGTCAGATGACAGAAAAGTAGAAACTGTATACACCAGATGAATGGTCGTAGACCACAAGGCAGACCAAGAAGACGATGGAGAGATAATATCCAGACAGACCTGCAAACACTTGGTGTCCCCAACTGGAAAGAGAAGGCCAACCAGAGAAATGAATGAAGGCGGGTGATATCTGCAGCAATGAACCTTAAGGGATGGGAATGCTGAAGAAGAAGAAAAAAGGATACATTTATATGCTTAATTTTCTTCTTTAAATTCTTATGTAGTCTGCACCTGATGAGGTGCAGAGAAATTTGCAAGAAAGTAAATTGTGCAATCTTTTGTTTACAAAGACATAAAAGCCCCCCCCCCCCCCCTTTTCCTAAAATAAAAACAATATTGTATTCAAAGCAATGCTTCCCCGTTGTAAATTTGAACAAAGAAGACACAAACAATAGATTGCACAATTTATTGCCCGGCATATTTCGCCATATCTCGTCAGGTGCATGCTACAGTAACAATTACATAAATGAAGCAAATAAGTGAATCCTTTATAACTTAAGTACAATTTCAACAACGATCAAACGTGACTGCCTGTTTTGACCAGGGTAGGTGTAAAGACTGAACCATCTCTTTCTGAATACAGAGTTCTGGGCACAGGTGATGAATTGCAGATGCTTAGAAAAATCTTAGCGTTGTGCCATTGGTTGACGTATGAAGGATTTGAAAGGCGTTGCATTTGATCACTAAATGTCAAGATTTTAGAAGATGGCGTACTATTGCAGAGGGGTGATCTTTGCCGCCAGTATTCTCATTTTTAATATTATTTTGCATGGCTTTTTCTATCCATAGTGGAATGTGCTCATCGACTCGTTTCTCCAGGCGTCGATCAGTTCTGCCTACATAAGCAGCTTCACTGCTACATTATTATATGCTTTTAACCACTTTCCAGAATAAACTAGGGCATCTGTGTTTGAAACAAAGAACCAGAAAGACAATTCAGAATTATGGATTCATGTTTATACACTATCTAATTATCTAATTCTGTGGGTCACAACTCGTTTGGGGGTCTAACGACCTTTTCACATAGGTGGCCAAAGATCAACGAAAAACACATATTCACTGAAGTTATGAGGTAGCAATGAAAATAATTGTATGCTTGGGGATCACCACAACAGGAAGAATTATATTAAAGGATCACAGCCTAATTGAGAACTACTGATCTAAGGGTTTTGTCAGGTGTGGAAGCATGTCAGCAAACCAACCAGTAGATGCATGATATTGGAGATGACACAAAGGAAGAAGCATGATTGCCGGTGCTTTATTAATATCCTACCGCAGATAACATCACAGGACAGCCCAACATTTTAGAGGGTGGTAAGACTGGGTTTCCCGGCTTTCAGAAACATGTAGAACTGGCCCTAACCCCAACCCACCTACGTCCCACGGGAGAGTAGAGCCGAGGTCCCACAACTGCATGCAGCCTATCTACAACCCCCTGAAATATTTGACTGTCCTGTGACCTGTGGATTTCCCCTGTTTGGGGTAGGATATTAATAAAGCACCTGATTGCCTATACAAGTCAGCAAGACACTTCATGGCGTTTTCCATCTTGCACACTGCCACTTTTTCATTGTTTTGTTTTTTTGCAGAATCTAACCCTGTAATTTTGGAAAATACAAGAGAATGTCGGGAAAAGTTAAATCTCGTTCATCAGCAAATGCAGCGGACAGTGCAACACAGTCTTTGAATGAGAGGATCTTGAAAGAATGTCATAGCCTTTACATCGACCCTGAAAATGGTAAGAGCAGCTGTATTTAATTATTACAGCATCAAATGGAAAATGAAAAAGGGGGGGGGGGGTGGTGGGGGAGTCTTACCTGCCGGCTCAGAGATCTTTGGTCGAAATCTGTGCCAAGGCAGATTTTTATACTTTACCTGGGTCTCCCTTGTTGGCCCAGCTTAAAATTATTATACCTTCTACCCGACTTACGGCCTGTGCGGCTTACCACCATCCATACTTCATCATCTCCATCATGTGTCGGTAAGTGTAGGCTGTCATATTGCACCATTTCACAAGATCTCCAGAATCATGGATCAGTGCATTTTTGTTGAGGTGTCTTGACTCATCCATCTGGCCAGGCCATCCAGGTTTTTATCTCTTTGCCTTCCATTTGCTTTCTCTCCATCAATCTTACCAGTTGTTCACAAATTCTCAAGTCAGTGTTTTCTTGTAACATGTATCACCACAGTCTGGTGAGATTGATGGATGCGGGGGGGGAGGTGATGAGAGGTTCTGGCAGATGCTCAAGGCTCAGAGGAAAGGCAAGATGGATGTTTAATCTGAATGCTACTGGCACCATTAGTATCGGAACTCTTCACTGGCTGCTGAAGATGGTGACGGAGTGCTTATGGGAATGCCCCGAGTACTGTGATGTCGGTTCTTGAATCAACTCCTGTAATATGTAACATCCACACTTACTAACACACAATAAAATAAAAACAGTTAAGAAAGAAAAATAACTACGTTGGTAGGGTCAAAAGATTCCAGGAACTGATGCAGTAGTGTACATATTATATGTGTTTCACATTATGTACAATAATTATATGTAGGTAGATTGAATATTTGTGTTTTATGTACAGTTTTTGAAACCTGTTTAATAAAAAACAGTTTAGGTTTAGACGACGGATCAATATCATGGTGCACGTTTAGTAACCCATAAGTGCTTTGTTCTACTTCTACACACGGGCATCTGATCTTACTTTACAGAGACGGCAGGAAATTACTAGAAGTCCACTTTTAAAAATCCTAGCCGTCACCGGTGCTTGAACCCGGGACCTCCAGCACTCAGAGGCGGACACTATGCCTTGAGACTATGCAGCCCCCTAAAAATTCACCAGCCTTACCGAGGATTCGAACCTGGCTCTCCTGCATGAGAGACAAAACATCTTCAGTGCTGATATTAAATTAAACTTATCAATATAACAAATGAGACTGCTTCGGACTGTCCAAGGGACAGGACGTGTTTTTCTCGCTCCCATCATTTTAGATTTTTTAAGCCCTGTTGCATTGGATATCTGAGGATAATTTTTATATCACTGTGACCGTTGTTCCGTCGGGCTTACTGTGAAATAGTTTTTGTGTGACTTTGTAGATCAATATTCGTTAAAAATGGAATATAGTGTATTATAATAGGTTTTCAGCAACAGAAGCCTCTGTTGCCAACGGGGCACAAACAGGCCCGATTGTGTTTCACCTGGCCCCATGGATTTATGGCATTTTAGACAGTAATTGTCCTGTGGGCGTACACACGGTGGCATACAACCGGACTGGTGAAGCGCTGCCACGCCAACACAGGATGCCGTTAAAAATTTAATTAGGTATTTTCCCCGTGTAGGTGGGACTCGATAGCTGGGGACAGCGGCCCACCTATGAGAAGGATACTCTGAAACTAAACTACCACTGCCCGGTGGTCAGGCCTTGGTTGGTTACGGGCTAAGGAAGCACATCCTAAAAGAAAAGCACGTTGAAGACGGAGACGCCAGGTCGAAAGGCACAGATAGTGTGGGAGAATATTTTCCCACAAACATGACGTCACGCATACCTTCTTGAATGTCAGAAAACCCTAGCAGGAATGAAGACTGTGGTGTTTAATCTTTAACACTTCAGTGAAACATATCACGGTGAGCCCTACCTTAAAAGTGGCAACTGTACAACGTCACCACTCGCAAAGCTAGAAAAACAGCCTAGATTATAAATCTATCAGAGGGACAAGATGGACGAAGAAGACGTGTGCGCTCTGAGGATTCTACAATGGAATGCAGAGGGAGTCCGCAACAAAAAAGCTGCACTCACAAAACAACTTACGGAAGGAAATATTGATATTGCCTGTATACAGGAGACACACCTGTCAGAAAAGCACAGATTCTGTATTAGAAGCTTCCAGTGCTTCAGACAGGACAGAGAAAATGGTCCCAAGGGAGGAGTCCTCATCCTTGTAAAAAACAGCATCCCAGCAGCTAGTCTTACAGTGGACACAAAACAGGAGTCTGAGATCATGGGTGTCAGACTCAACATTGCAGACAAGGAAATTGTGTTGTACAATTGTTACTGCCCGCCAAGCAAAGAACTCTCATTATACAACATGAGAATCCCAGATGACAACTGTATCGTTCTAGGAGATTTTAACAGCTGCTCTCCAAGCTGGGGATATTCACAGCTCAACGACAGAGGAGAAGAAGTGGAGGACTGGCAGACATATGCCAGACTCCAGCTAATCAACAAATCAGATGACTCCCCATCTTTTTTCTCCAGGAGATGGCTTTCAACCAGCCGCCCAGACTTAACATTTGCCACGTTAGACTTAGCAAGCAACATACATAAAATGGTGCTCAGCCAACTAGCAGGTAGTGACCACCGACCGATCCTGATTTCTGTTCTAAATATGAGAGGCCTTCATTCGATGCCGCCCCCTCGTTGGAATTACAAGAAAGCTGACTGGAACAGTTTTGCTGTAATAAATGAGGGCAATGAGATCAGATCTGGAAACGATGCTGCAAATATCCTTTTAAATCAGTTTAAATCTGTTAGTGATATTAATATAGAAAAGTCCAGAGAAGATGAGGTAGTACAAAGAATAAAAGAACTCGAGGAGGCCAGCAAGAGTAAACCAGCAGAGAGCATCATGACAGATAAATTCTCAATGAGTGAACTTAACACAGGACTTAACCAGCTGAAATCCAACCAAGCCCCTGGTCCCGATAAAATCACGAATGATATGTTACTACACATGGGTCTAAGTGCCAAAAAGAAATTATTAAACATCTTTAATGCCAGCTGGATTTTTAGTATAGTTCCTCCAGCCTGGAGGAAGTCTGAAATCTTCGTAATCCTGAAACAAGGAAAGCCGAAGAACAACGCAGACAGCTACAGACCCATCAGCCTCACTAGCTGTCTGTGCAAACTATTTGAAAGATTATTGAACAACCGACTGACCTGGTTCCTAGAGAAAAACGTCAAACTAATGGAGGAACAGGCAGGTTTTCGACGTTGTAGATCAACAGAAGACCAAATTACATTTATTGCTCAACACATTGAAGATGCATTTCAGGAAAAAAAGCACACTATTGCAGTTTGGGTGGATATGGAAAAGGCCTTCGACAAAGTGTGGAAAAATGGGCTGAAACAAAAGCTACTTGAAAGTGGAATATCCCATCACATGCTTGGGTGGATCGTAAAATATCTTGAAAATCGATCTGCAAGAGTCAAGATACAGGGTTCAAGGAGCAGATCAGTTTCAATGACACATGGAGTTCCACAAGGCGGAGTTCTGTCCCCAATTCTTTTCCTAGTTTACATTAACGACATAAAATCAACCCTCTGTAATGGAGTTCAAGCCGTTATGTATGCCGATGATCTGGCGCTACTGAGTTCAGAGGAGGACACTGAAAAAGCACAGACAAGGCTTCAAGAATCCCTCGGAACTCTAGAGAGGTGGTCTAATAGCTGGTACATGCCTGTAAATGGGGCCAAAACCACACACACCATTTTCAGTCTCTCTACCAAACCCCAGAAAGTTTCACTTAGATATGGCAGCCAGGCACTGATACATGATGACTCACCGTCATATTTAGGAGTAACCTTTGACTCAAGACTCACATGGAGAAAACAGATAGAAAAGACACAGAGCAAGGGACTCAAGAGAACACAACTGATGAGGAAGTTAGCTGGAACAGACTGGGGGGCAAACCTCAATTTCCTTAAGAGGACCTATACAGGCTATGTGAGGCCAACACTAGAATATGGAATAGCTGCTTGGGGCACAGCAGCTAAATCAAATTTTCAGAAAGTCTCAAAGATCCAAAACCATGCTCTCCGTATTATGACAGGGGCAATGCGCTCCACGCCCATATCAGATATGGAAACAATTACTGGTCTCCATAATCTGGAAGATAGGAGAGACACAAAGATCCTCACCCAGCTCTCCAAATACCACCACTTTCAAGAACAACCCATGTACAGCCGACTACAGAAACCACAGAAGGCTAGACTAAAGAGAACTTGCTTTATTAAGAACGCAAATGCCAAGCTCGCTGTCCTTAAACTCCCTCCCATAATACAAAATGTTCCACTTAAACCTTACAACGACTGCCCCGCTTGGCTTAGGGATAGCCTACCAACAGTCAGAACCACTGTAACAGGGGTCTCCTCCAAATCATCAATGAGCAGCACTGATATGAAATCAACTACAGAAGGAGAGATCAATAGACTTTACCCACACCAGAGTTGGATTCGAGTGTATACAGATGGTTCAGCCAAGAGAGCAGTAAGAGACGGAGGAGGAGGAATATACATAGAATGCCCAAATGGTTTAAAAATCAACCAGGCTGTACCAACAGGTTCATATTCCTCCAATTACAGAGCAGAGGCAGAAGCACTTCTAGCAGCATGTTCTTTCCTGAATGGACAACAGCACAGCAAATATAGCAGAGTGGTCTTTCTGACTGATGCTATGTCAGTTCTACAAGCAATTGATAACCCAAAAGACACTCAGTTTGTAGACTTGACGCAACAGCTGATTTACTTAGGCTCTTCAGTAGAACAATCTGTACTGCAGTGGATTCCAGGTCACTGTGGCTTGGAAGGCAGGGAATAGCGGACAGATTGGCCAGAAACGGCAGTGACATGGTACAACCAAATAGCGACTTAACCCACCAAGAGATGAAAACACTAATACAATCTAGTATCCAAGAAAGGTGGCTGGATACCCACACCAGATTTTCTCCCCAAGACTCACTTCATCGCCTCTCTAGAGAGGGACAGTCTATTATATTCAGACTAAGGACAGGGCACAACAGATTTCGTCAACATATGTTCAAATTTTTCGGTGTAGGAAATACGGAGACGTGTCCCTGCAGCGTGGCACCCGAAAATGCTGAGCATGTGCTCCAACACTGTCAACTGTATGTTGACAACAGAGACGCAATCTGGCCTGTTCCAACCACAATGAAGACAAAACTGTATGGTACACAAGAGGATATGGATTGCACGATAGCTTTCATAAAGGCTACCGGCCTCCTGATATAAGTTTTCTGACAGAAGGATCGAAGAAGAAGAAGAATATAACAAATAAAAAATTATGTTGAGAAATGTAAGTTCGACTTTACAACATTTTGGTCAGACCAGGACTCTGTCATAGGTCAAGGAGACCCCGTACAGGAAAATATCTTGGAGCTCAGCTCTGGTAGATAAAAATTAGTTACAAACGTTTGAATGTGTTCGACTGGCACCTTCATTTTTGAACAGTAATAACTTTCAGTCTAAATTTAAAAAAAAGACAATTACAAGGACTGTTTCTTTTTAAAAAAAAATTTGAAAAGTGTCAGTTTTTAATAGTTTTATGGGTGTTAAAGGTATTGAACTGATTACACAAGATAGAATGGAATGGAGGAATAGACTGCCAGCCCTATTTGACATATAGTGGCCCAACAACAAGATGCACAAAGCAGGACGTTATATCTTCCTTGACACCTGAAGTGGTAAAAGGGGACGTAAAGAAGAAGGAGACTACAGGATAATGAATGAATTGCCATTCCAAGGGCGATGTAGTCATTATTAAATATACTATTCTGACTATATGTAGATTATCTTATTTATTTATAATGGTCTTGTTGTAACGTAAGTTGCAAGAAATGTAACACTTTTTGGTGATGGTTGGTGAAGATAGCTGAGAATCTTGTTGTTAATACTATATCTCTGCGACCTCCAACCTCTTCTTGATTTGTTCACTGCTCTTGATTTGTTCACTGCTACACTAAAACATTTCAGCACGCTGTTTCATGCAGAGCGGCTGAGGATCGGAAGGTCATGGGTTTGCTTCCTGGCAGAGCCGGGCTTTTAATAAAAAAAAATGACCTTGGCTCCCAAGTCGACCCAGCCTAGAGTGGGTACCGGGTGCAGTCCCAGTAAAGTCGGCCAGCATGATGCTGACCACATTGCCCATCTTGTGCAGATTCGTCTATAAAATATAGGTCTAGCCCTTTATGCCCTATGCGCCTAAAGGCTTGGAAAAGGGTCTTTTACTGACTCTGTTTCTTATGTATAGTGAGAGAGACACGTTGCATTAAATACTTTGTATAGTTACAAGACATATAACATTTTTTGATCAGGACTGGTGAAGATTGCTGAGAGTCTTGGCCTCCATCTGCTGGCACCAAGGAAGAAGATCACAGTTCTCTTGATTGGCAACCATTCAGCTGGAAAGAGCTCCTTCATCAATTGGTGAGTACATGTATTTTTTTGCTGTAATGTTTAGCTACAAATTTGCTATTCTTCTTTTTCTTTCTGTCTTCTTACTTCTGCTCCATATCTTCTTCTTCTTCTTCACGTCCATGCTGCTGATAGTCATGTAATTAGAGAATAATTCAACAAAACTTTCAATAAATGTTGCCCGCTGCAAGTACTGCTCTAATGTTTGCTTTAAAATATTACTCCCGAATACCAGCTATTCATAGACACTGTTGGTGGTTAAAAACAAAAATAACCCAAAAATTTTCCAGACCTCACTTAGAGTAGCTCTGGCTGTTTAAGATTCTACATCAGGATTAAATAAAATATAAGGCTATTATTCCTCCTGGTATTTCCACTATTCACCTCTGGTGATCTGGTGCAGTGACTAGAATTTTCAGTTATAATTTATCTGAAACCTGAAGATTAAAATTACTGTTACCAGTTTTGTCCCAGGGAAGAGGCTTGCCAAGTGATTACAACATCAGACTCTCATGTGGGAGGGACTGAGTTTTACCCCTGTTAAGGTGATAAATTGACATTTTCAGGTTGGGGAGGAATTAAACATCATAACCTGCATAGTCTGTGGTGAATGCACTAGCCACGTGGCCCTAAAGCCTCATGCTCACAATCACCCTGCCTACTGCACCCTAAAAAGCAGTAAATAAAACAGTTATGACACTAGTTATAATTTATCTGAGACATGAAGATTACAATTGCTATAACAAGTTATGATAAAATTTACTCCCATAAAGTGGTTATAAAAGCAGGTTTGAGTGCTGAATCTAGGAATTAAGAGTTGACATGAAGTTTAAAAGAATTAACTTAACTTGCTGACACTATAATTATGTGTTGTTTTGTTTTTTTGTTTTGTTCTGTTCTCCTTCTGAGTGTTTCATTTTGTTCTTGTATTTTTTACGAGAATGCGGAAATATTGGTGCCGCACACCAACGTCGTTTACGTGCGCCGCGATACTCCGAATACTAAATGGTTGTTGTTCTGCTGAGCACAAACCTTATCTTCATGGAAGTCAACACGGTCCGCTTGGGTTGTTTCTGCTGAGCACAAACCTTATCTTCATGGATGTCAACACGGTCCGCTTGGGTTGTTTCTGCTGAGCACAAACCTTATCTTCATGGATGTCAACACGGTCCGCTTGGGTTGTTTCTGCTGAGCACAAACCTTATCTTCATGGATGTCAACACGGTCCACTTGGGTTGTTTCTGCTGAGCACAAACCTTATCTTCATGGATGTCAACACGGTCCGCTTGGGTTGTTTCTGCTGAGCACAAACCTTATCTTCATGGATGTCAACACAGTCCGCTTGGGTTGTTTCTGCTGAGCACAAACCTTATCTTCATGGATGTCAACACGGTCCGCTTGGGTTGTTTCTGCTGAGCACAAACCTTATCTTCATGGATGTCAACACGGTCCGCTTGGGTTGTTTCTGCTGAGCACAAACCTTATCTTCATGGATGTCAACACGGTCCTCTTGGGTTGTTTCTGCTGAGCACAAACCTTATCTTCATGGAAGTCAACACGGTCCGCTTGGGTTGTTTCTGCTGAGCACAAACCTTATCTTCATGGATGTCAACACGGTCCTCTTGGGTTGTTTCTGCTGATTTCCTGGATGGCTGCACATTTTCTGGTGAGTGAGTTTTAAAAAAAATTTTTACTAAAATTGTAAACATTTATTTTTTACAAGTAATTTTTTTTTTATAAGATTACTATCTTGAATATGTGTTGTTAATTTGATTAAAGTTGTCATAAAGTATATTGAGCTGTGGATTGCAAACTGTTTCTCCTCGATGACGCTTAATGGCAAAAGTGGAAATTGATGTTGATAGTGAAGCATGCAGCTGGAGAACTTAAAATAATGGCTACACATTTGCTGCAAGAGTGTCCAACAAATTGTCACCTCCCCAGCGCCTTTTACAGACAGTTTATGGAGATGTCAGGAAGCTCTGATGACTGCTTTATTTAAAAATATCCATGCTGACATCTGAAGGTGAGAAAGAATATTACATATATTCAGGGCTTTTCTTTTCTTAAAAAAAACTGGTGCCGGTACTGGTGAGGAGGATTGTACAAAAATAGTGCTGGTGCTCATCACAAAGTGTGTATTATGGTAGCACTGAAAAAAACGGAAGCATAAAAAATTAGCCAGTGATGCATACCATCGGCACCTTCAGAAAAAAGCCCTGCGTAGATGACTTTTGTACTGATTACTCTTTATACATCTTTTTATTAGGCTTGTCCTTTTTTTTTGTAAAAAAAAAAAAAAGCTATATACATGTTGGAATGCATCTTCAGTCCAGTGTTATGTTTCCATATAATGTTTCCATATAACATTACATCCTCAAATGAACGTAAAATTGTAACAACAGAGATAAAATGCCTTAGAAGAGCTGCAGGAGTTTCAAGGAACCACAGAATACAAAATCAGATGAATGCTAGGAATAAAGTTAATCTTAAAAGTCATCAAAGAACAACAAATGAAGTGGTTTGGACACCTAACAAGAATGCCCTGGTACTATCTGCCACAGCCAGCCACACTAAAACGTTACAATGGGTATAGAGCGAGTTGAAGACCTGACACAGCCTTACTGAAATGAACATCAGTCTTAATAGTGCTCTTGACACAGCTTATCACCGAATGTGCATCTCCCCCCGACACTTCCCTAAGGTACAAGGTGGAAGAGACAAAGAAGAAAAGACAAGATGCTGTTAGTTTATATATAGGAAATTTTAGTTTTATTTCCAGTTCAACTATACTTGGCTATTATTAGGATACACAGAGCAGACTGTTTAATGCAATCTCAGATGGGGCGAATTTCTGTTGTAAAGAACAATTTGTTTATCTCCGGCAATTTTTCTTGCTTGAATTCTTTTCTGGATAAGAGGAGTTTCTGATAAGAAGAACCAGTTTTGAGGTCCCTAGTGAGTTCTCCTTGTCAGGTCTGCATCATATACTGTAACTAATCTGCATTTATCTTGAAGAACTTCACCGTTTTTTTTTATATAAAACCTTGATGGTGTTTGTATTTTTCTCAGAAGCCACAATTTTTCTGCTGTTAGATTTTTAGCTGTCTCCCTTTTATTAAGTCTCATTACCAAGCAGCACTATAGCGTCTTAGCATTACTTTTCTCATTACAAGTGACTTTTGTGTATTAGTTTGTTCATGGCTTTTTTCCTGGTGGTGGTAGTAGCACCAGCAACTTTTTAAGGCATTTTGTTGTTGTTGATTGCTTCTGTACTAGGTAGGCACTTTGTGGAGCGTACTGCCACCTTTCATTAGATGTTTTCTGGTAGATAGAGGCATCTTTTTTTCTAAATAAAAGTCCCTATTTTGCAACTTGCAACAGGCTGCTTTTTTCTTTTCCTTTGGGGATTATTCTAACTTCTATAAGGCATCTTCAATGTTTCCAAGATAATCGCACTGATGCGCCTGTTTTCAGATTTCTCTCAGTCATATGGGCATTATACTGTGATGTTTATAAGAAAGTAAAAGTAAAGGGCTCTTTTTTTGACGCCTTTGGGTGTATTAGGCACAGAGGGCTGGACCTATATTTTATTGACCAATGGGCACTTGGTGGCTAGCATCACACCTTCCGCTTTTGCTTCCCAGGACTGTACCTAGTACCCACTCATGGCTGGGTCAACCTGGTAGCCTAGGTAATTGGGGGGGGGGGTAAGTTCGGCTCCTTTGGTATCCCTACCCACAACGTCCTGATCCACAGGAGAGTGTCTAGCCGCTACAGCACAGCAACTCATTGATAAGAAAGCAATGTAAATAATTCAGTTTAATGCTAATTTATTTGTCACGACTATTAAAAATACTATTGTTTATACATTGCATTGAAGCCTCTTCTCGAAAAGTATTTTGTCGCATTGTTTTATCAATTATTTTCCATCTTATGACTGCATTTCTAATTTTCTTACTAGGTAATCAATCTGCACCCTTAAGTGGAGTTTGGAGTGAAGCAAACACTTTCTGAATGATTTGGCCTAGAATAAGTTACTGCTACAGCCCATTTTGACACTCAACAAAGGATTTAAAATGTAGGTATATATGTACTTTATATATTTCTTTTTTTCCTCTTCGTTAATGTATTTATTTTCTGTTGTTGGAAAAACTTGCACGGTCCTCTAGGTCCCCAAATGTATAATTAGTAATGTCTTGAGTACTTTAAATGTTTTTTGATTTAATTGACATAAAATAAAGTACTGCCAGAAGATTTGCTGCCCATATTGGCAATCAGCAAAAGATGTAAAATATTTGGTTGTACCTTCATTGTGTGTGTGGGGGGGGGGGGGATCAAGAATAGACCCACTGCTTCCATAACCCACATATTGTTGGAGTTGACTGATTGAGGGCATCTTTCGCAGTCAGAGTGCATATGTGTAAGAGGCAAGGAACCAAGAGTCTGCATACAAATAAGCCAGATCTGTGAAACGAATGTGCATGCAACACTCAGGTTCTGGAACAAGACTAACATTCGTAGGTAGATGAGCAACCAGAACTTTCCACTGGAATTTACAGCTGGCGAACGCAAAGAAAAAGTGTACTAAAAATATTTTCGCTAGTCTGATATTATTCATTTTTGTGGGCTGCTGAATTTTTTTCTGGCGAAAACCACAGGGGAGTAAGGGCAGCTTGGGGCCTCTGATCATCCAAAGGGGTCTGTCTTCTGTTGATATTTTGGCTGCATTACCCACCTGCCACTCTTCCAAGGGTCTTTTTACTGGTGTATATTTATAATTTGGCCTCTGTAGCTTAAGGGTTGTGAATGCGCTTTGTAATTCCGAGGTACCTGGTTTGATTCAAGCTGCTGGTGATTTGGCAGCAGACTTCCTTGCTTTGGTTCGGGACCAGGTGTCGAAAGTCAGCCATTTAGAAAGCAATGGTAGATGACTTTAGTAAAATTGCCTAGTAAAACCAAAACAGCCAACAAATATTTTTGAGGGTTTGGGGGGGATGGGGGCGGGGAGG